TTTGGGAGCTGCAGGGGCTGATACCCGACCGGGTATATAGGATACCCGACCGGGTATCTTAGGAAATTTCCCAGAAAGTCACTTTTCTGGGCATACCCGACCGGGTATGTCGGCATACCCGATCGGGTATGTGAAAAATCTTAACGAAATCTTGCTCCCACGATCCTTTGTTCCCGGATTTGATTTGGACAATCGAATCAAGTAAATACCCGATCGGGTATAGGCAATACCCGACCGGGTACATGAGTATTTTTTCCAAATCGAAATCTTTCTTGCCTCCTTGCACTTTCCTTGATCTTTTAAGGTCCAATCTTGATCCCTTGGATGATCTTTGACCTGTAGCTCAGAAAAGTCCTAATCTAAACAAATTACAAATAAATATGAAAATAAAGTATTACACCAAAAGTGTGTAATTTCCTCAACTAGAACTAATAAAAACTAGTTAAAAATACAAACATACAATCGGAAATTACATGAATATCAACTCCCCCACACTTAGCTTCTTTACTCGTCCTCGAGTAAAGTCAAATGTTTAACCGTTCCAAGTCCTCAAAAGTTCAGCAATCAACCAGAAAAAGCAAAAGACCACCAAGGATAACATATGAGTTTTACATTGAGTGTTTAGCTCAAAGAATAATATCTTCTTGGGTTTCATGGCCTTCTATGCTCATCTCCTCTTTTCATCTTCAAGAGATTAAATGATGTCCTGTAAAAACAAATATATATCTCTCATATCTCTCATTTTGCCTAGGAGCCTTTTCAGGTTTTCATCCTAGCATCTCTTTTATTTTTCCACCTCTCCACTCACTCATCATTTTTTTTGTAAGCCTTTTTTGCTTAGATTGCCCATTTTTTTGGGTTTTCAACCTAACTAGCATTTCATTTTTTTTGCGAAGAAAATAATGCTAGTTTACAAGGTATCAAACTTAAGTACGCACCGATGAGTGACTCCCCCTCACTTAGCTCGAAGCACTGTCCCTAGTGCTCGTCTCCATCATAATCGGGCTGACTGGTGCTCTAAATGAAGTACTCTCGCCCCTTGTTCTCTTTTGTGCCATTTTCGCTTGATGCTTTTAATTTTGAGTTACAAATTTCGGACTTGGGGGAGGGCGTAAGGCATTATTTTTGAACTTGAGTTTTTTGGGGAAAAATGTGGTGTTGATAGATATGGGGTGTAGAGGAAAATGTGGTGAAGATTTTGGCGTTGGTTTGGAAAGATTTGGTGGAGATTCGAGGGAGTAATGGGAGAAAGAAACTTCGAAATTGGAGGTTTGGGGAAGATGAAATGGGTGTTTTGGGTGGCTAATTCGGGTTTAAAGACCGTGTACCCGACCGGGTACCCTGACATACTCGATCGGGTATGCCTGTGTTTCTTCAAAATATGGGGTCCTACCCGATCGGGTTGGGGTATACTCGATCGGGCGTTTTGGTGCGAACATACTCTCAAAAAAAATTAACATACCCGACCGGGTATATGGAGCTGCCCGATCGGGTACTTCATAATTTTCCACCCCTGAGTCGATCGAGTATTTGGTTACCCGAGCTTCACCCTTTATATTTGTTTTTATACCCGACTGGGTAGTACGTGACACCCGATCGGGTATGGTGCCCCTGGTTTTTTTTGAAATGAAAACTACAAGGGAGAAAAGAATATATACCTTTGCTTGGGTTGCCTCCCAAGAAGCGCCTCGTTTAACGTCGCGGCACGACGCCATCATTGTGTTCAGTCATTCAAACTTGGATCATGATAGTTTATCTTTTTCACACTTTCACTCCTAGGACGTTCATAGGAGTGATCAACTTCTCGACTCTTCAATTTGGGAATCTTTCCTGGATCAAATATCCAAATTGTCATTGATTCATGCGGTGGGAGGAAAGGGAAGAAGTTATCGATTACTATGGTCAATGAAAAGTTTTTCGATCCCTCAATTTTGAAGAGGATTTCAGAAATGTCATTGTCCTTTCCAAGTTTATGAGTTTCCCTCAAATTTTTTAGAATTGATGGGGGTACCTCAAAAGATGACAAGGATAGATATTTGACCTTGAAGCTCAGATTATCCTCTTTTTCTTCCTCTACTTCTTCTGGATTAATATAGAGGAAGAAAATACCATTCTAACTAATGTCGAGATGTTAACTAATTGTCATCTTAGCAACACTCCCCAACATTAATATAGAGATGGTATTAAGGAAAGAACCATTAATTAATATTCAAGGAAAGAAGTTAAGAAAATAACTCACAACTTTAATGATCAACAAGTTTCAAGAGCAACACCAAGATGGAAGAGTTTAGCTCCTCATTTGGAGACTTAACATGCTAAAAATATAAAAGAAATACTTAACTAAACTGGGCTAAAGAGTATATGTGAATTGGTTCCTTTTATTGTGAAGGAAAGGGGTGTATTTATAGGCTTTTGGGAGCTGCAGGGGCTGATACCCGACCGGGTATATAGGATACCCGACCGGGTATCTTAGGAAATTTCCCAGAAAGTCACTTTTCTGGGCATACCTGACCGGGTATGTCGGCATACCCGATCGGGTATGTGACAAATCTTAACGAAATCTTGCTCCCACGATCATTTGTTCCCGGATTTGATTTGGACAATCGAATCAAGCAAATACCCGATCGGGTATAGGCAATACCCGACCGGGTACATGAGTATTTTTTCCAAATCGAAATCTTTCTTGCCTCCTTGCACTTTCCTTGATCTTTTAAGGTCCAATCTTGATCCCTTGGATGATCTTTGACCTGTTTAGCTCAGAAAAGTCCTAATCTAAATAAATTACAAATAAATATGAAAATAAAGTATTACACCAAAAGTGTGTAATTTCCTCAACTAGAACTAATAAAAACTAGTTAAAAATACAAACATACAATCGGAAATTACATGAATATCAAACCAGCGGCACAAATACTCATCCGATGCTCCCACCATCATCATGCTGTTTTGGTATATGATGTAGTGCTCCTGGGGGTCGGTTTTTCCGTCGTAGGGCTTGATGAGTTGCCCTCTGTATTTTTCCGGGATCCGGGCCGCCAATACCCTTGGGGTAAATGGCGTCCGGGTCCGCAGCTGTATGGTGGGTTCCCCAGAGCCCTCGGTTATCTTCTTCTGCATTTCCTCCATCTTGGCCAACATCGCCTCATACTTGAGGTCTGTATGAGGGGCAGAAGTGGTGGCGTGTGCTTTGGTGGCCTCCATCTCGTCAAGACGGCGCTGGAGGGCCGCAATGATTTCGTCTCGGGGGTCCTTCAGGAGGGCCTCCGCCCCCTGCGAATGGACACGGGCCGAGTGGGCCTGGTTGATTTGGTGGCGGGCATCGTTGGCATGGAGAGGTGCCTTGCCTTTGTCCTGAGGGGGACGTCTTTCATTGGCGTTGGAGACGGATCCGCCACTTTCCTGAGGCCTCTGGAACGACTTCCCCCCGAGGCGGTCTTGCGCCCCTCCGAGTCTCTCGAGGGCGGAGGTCCGGGGTTGTTCTTTGTTCACGTTGTGGCGGTCCCGGGACTGGACTTCCTGGGAGGCCGTATCTTGGGCCACGACCCCCTCGACGTTCCCAATTCGGAGGACTGGGTTTCCGAGGGGGTGTGGATGAGGAGGAGGTATGACATTCTCCCCGACCTGAGGTTGGAGGGGAACCAAAGTGCCGAAGGCACCTGGATTCTGGGTGAGCGTCTGGATGAAGGTGGAAAACGCCGATTGTACGTCGATTGTAATTACCGGAGGGCTAACTTGGTTCTCGCTTCGGTCCTTTTTCTTGGCCTCGATGCCGAGGCGGGCATCAGGGGCATTCTGTTGAATCTGATGGCGTAGGTCGACAGTCGTCTGGTCCAACCCGACGATGACGCCACCCCCGGGAGCCCTGTTAGAGGCTTCGGGGACGTCGACTTCGCCGAGGGCCGGGTTCCTGTCCTCAACATTCTTGGAGTTGGCACGAGTTGTTCTCACCATTTAGCTAGGTGTTTTGTGTTTGGCGAGGGGGAGGGTTTCTTACTTGATTATTCGACCTCTCAACGAGAGCACCAAATGATGGATAGTGTACCCGGGGGGTAGCTTATCCGAGGGGTTATTGAGGGGAATAACTAGAGAGAAGTCAGAGCAAGTAAGTAAGAGAGAGAGTGTATATCAGATATGTATTCAGCGTATTTTGCTTCTGGGTTACAAATGGGGAAATGAGGTGCTATTTATAGTAGCAATAAATGTCAGATAGGGACACGTGTCAAGCATCCATTGGCTGGGGGGTCACATCAACTGGTTGGCGCTGGCAATCGCATGTGGCCGCATTTAATGCGGCTGTTGGATGTGACGTCGTACTTGGTACGGTGATTCAGGTGCATGTGGAGTGGATATTATGTCGAGAAAGGTGCCCTCGGCTGCAGGTGATTAGCCGAGGGCTCTGAGTACTGGGGACCCCCTTAGTGCCGAGGGCTCTAGGTGCCAAAGGCTACTGATTTTCGCCGTTTTCTCCCAGTAACTTTGTGTGCTTGAGCTGGCCGTCCTGTGAGAATTTGGAGCCTTCGGCCACGGGACCGAAGGCACTCCCAGTGTGCTGCGTGGGTTGCTCAGTACTTGGGGTACTGAGTTTTGGGCCTGCTGTGCCCCCTAGGTCTATTGGAGCTTTATCAGAATAGTAGGAGTCTATGGGCCGGGGGTTCCTGAGCCATATACTCCATCAATGTTCAATCACGTAATACGCTCAATGACTTTCTCAAGTCTCTTGATGCTTGACACACCCTTTTAGTTGATTTATTTTGTGACAATCTAGTCCTTCATTTTGCATCTAATTCGATCTTTCATGCATGTTCTTAACGTATAAAGATTAATTGTCACTTTGTTCGTTATCACGTTTAGGTCAACACTACATCCACATAAAATAACTCTTATGCTAAACAATTTGAAAATATATTCGCGCGACAAGTGTCGTCTTAGGGTTCAATAATTATCTTAGTTACTATATAAGTTGGAAGTTTGATGCTCACACGCTTTACTTTTAATGGTCTATTGGAACGACCTATATTTACATTTTTATTATCTCACACACACACACACATATATATCCTACTATACTATTAGAAGGTCTAAGGATGTTAGTTGGCCTATTTCCGTGTGTACCACTCTGCTAGACGGAAACTTAAATTCAGCGCCAGTGAAGCTAACAACGGTGCTTGCTCCTGTTTATCACCGTTTGCTCCTGTTCCAGCGCGTATGAATGGGGTTCAATATTTGTTTGGGATGCCAAACATAAACCTTCCTTTCGTTTCTGCGCTCTTCGGACTTCCAATTCAGAGTCTAGGGTTCGAAAAATACCTTCCGCCAAGCCGCCAAGCCGCCCAGCGTCTACGAGTATCATCACTGCTCTGGTAATCATCCCCTCTTAGCTATGATCTCTTCTCCTATTTTTCTTCTCTTTTGTTTCTAGGTAGGGTTCTCATCTGCTACGATGTACTCTGCTGCGGCCATCATCAATCGATATCAAGAACAAGGTCTTGTTTCACATTTCCTAAGGTTTTACTTTTTCAGACCAGGCCCCTTAATTGATTTGGAATGAATCTAACAATTTTACTGCTTTTAATTTCTAACCCCTCAATTTTACACATTTAAATGACTCTGTGTGATAACAACGTGGTAGTCTGCAGGTAGATTTCAGTTTCACTAGCTTGACGCATTACTTCTTTGCATATTGAAATTTTAATTTTATTGTAAAGTCTTTTATGTGTATTAAGGGTTGTCTAAGAAATCTAGATTAAACTTTTCGCTCTAATTCAGGCAGTCTTGGAGACTGTGGCTAGAGTTAAGACTAGGGTGAGTTCGGTTCTTGCGGTTCTTGCGGTTCGGTTTCGACCTAAAACCAAATATATAATCAAAGTAAAAAGTTCGGTTCGGTTTCGGTTCGGTTCTACACTCCAAAACTTGGAACCACGGTTTAATTGGTTTGGTTTGTTTCGATTCGGTTTCAGGTTTTTGGGTTTTTACCAAAAAATTATCATTAGATTTAAAATTGATATAATACTTTGAGGGATCAAACATATATTACATAAAGAATGAAAGCACACTACAACAAATAAAATAAAAATGAAAATAAATAAAGATGTCATGAGTTATATGAGTATGCGAGAGAGATAAAAGTATATATTATTAATTTACATTGTTTGTGACTAGTTCAAAAAAAGTTAATGAGTATATACGTTATATGTGATATAGTTGAGATAAATATTTATTGTTTCATCAATACAAATTCTTTAAGTTAAATAAAAATAAAAGTTAATTAATACTAATAACAAGTAAAAACATATTATCAGTATAGCTACATTATTGTGTGCAATGAATGTGTAAATGAATTCACAAACTAAACTAAACATAACAAACATTATTTCTCTAGCACACGAAAACCAAAAACTATTAATGATATTAGGATTAGTTAGGATTAATGCTTAACAATGGACAAATAAATTTTACTCCGTATATTTAACTAGTTCGATTTGTTCGGTTCGGTTCGGTTTTGAAGGGTAAAAACCAAAACCGAACCAAACAACTACGGTTCGGTTCGGTTTTTTACATTCGGTTTCGGTTTGTTAGCGGTTCGCTTTTATTTGGCTACGGTTCAGTATGATTTGATTCGGTTTTCGGTTTTCGATTTTTCGGACCCAGCCCTAGTTAAGACCAAGAAAAATGACACAAAAAAGGAAGACCAGTATGTAATTCCACTATACGCCCTCGGTATTTGGTTTCATTCTCGACCACATGCTTATCTCTTTTTGCCTTTTTTTTATTCCATGCAATGGATGTTCAGGTCAGTTCAACTTCACCATGTCTTTAACCTTGAAATCCACGGTTCTATTTTTTTGAGAAGGTAAATCAAAACTAAGTTTGATTTTATAGGTTGGTTTTGTATTGATTTAATCCGTAATATGAAACACATTGTTCTCCGCATGAGTGTGTTTTATTCACTCTTGAGACTAACTTATTTTTTTCCCTGTGCTATGCTTTTTTGTGAGATTCTATAGTTCTATGTCCTGTATTTATGAGGTTTTGCCAACAGAAAAGGGAAAGGGAAGACTTGACCTTTATGTGGATATTTTTCTCATCCTTCTCCTTCATCATGTGGAAGGACAAGAAAGATTTTAATCAGCTTAACACGAAAGATCAACCATTGTATTTATCCAAACATTCTTTCAATGACCTGTCTTGTGTTTGTCCGACAGTTTTTGTCTATCTTTTGAAGGAATGCTACGCTCATGGAACATGTAAAGGCAAAAAATTGCTTTTGTTTTTCCTTTTCAGAGCACACTTGTGGCCACTTGAAGTCAACAACCTCCATCCCACAAGAACAAGACAAATTGAGGTTGACTCTGACCCAGAGATCGAAGCCCTATTCAGAGAAAGTCAGACCTCTGCTGATGCCAAAAAGGGGGAAAACACAACACAAGCAGGCACCTCTTCTACAAGGTCTCTGGCAGGCAAGAAAGGAGCCGAAACCAGGAAGAAGAACAAGCTCTACAAGGAAGAAGCAGAAATCAGAAAAAGAAAAGCATAAGAGGCCAAAGCCAAGGAAGAGCCAAGAAGAAACAAGAAGACAAGCAAGAGTAGGTTAGATATTAAAAGTCCGAAAAAGACTATAAACTATTGTACTCTAGAAAGTAGAGCAATGTACAAAAATTTCAAAGAAAATCAATAAAAATGTTTGTTACTTGTGTTGTATAGTTTTGGCATCATCAAAAAGGGGGAAATTGTTAGTACCCAATTTTGATAAGATTTTGATGATGCCACTATACATAACACGTGTACATTGTGTCTCAATTTAATTTACAATAAGTGACAAAATTAATGTACAATTTTTATGACTAATAAAATATGACCGGAAAAAGTAAAAATGCAATAAGGTAATTTTATTTACCTTAATAGGATATTTATATCCTACCGGTATATTTTATTAGCCCACAAAAATTAAATGTCACAAAACAAGGCCAAGTTCGAAAAATGTATATGATTGGAGACAAATACTTGACCAGTATGTAATACTGAATCAAGTACTGGGAACTACAGCATGGGACTCAAACCTGGAAGAAGATGCCGCGGCCGAATTATTTATAGACAAATACACCAGCCACAATTAAAGCTCCAGCACAAGAAGACAAGAGTACTACTCGTACTCTTCAAAAGTTCAACGGCAGAGATCAATCTATCTTAACCAACGGATAAGATTGATTAGCCAAAAAGCCTATAAATAGAGGCTGAAACGCAAGTTTCTAACCAAGCATTTGAGCATCCAAAGAGAGAATTTCTATCAAGAGCATTTACGAGAGATCTAGCAAAAGAGAAAGTGCTATTCTAAACTTTACTCTCTGCTTGGACTCATGCTTCACAAAACTTCCAGTTCACAAAGCTTTTTCATTGCCAAAACATAGAAGTTTAGTTCCTAGTTGGAGGTTAGAACTTTCTTGAAACAAATCATATATTGCTGTAAACACTTAGGAGAACAGTTGTTCGGATCCTACAGTGTAAGTAGATAGATAGAGTACCTTTTGATCCCCACTAGGTCATTAGAGAAAAGTCTAAGAACTGAGTAACTTTGAGTGGTGCTATACTCACTGTGAAAAACCTTCAATCTAGGCCTAAGTGTTGTAAAGGCTAGATTGGCACTAAGTGTATTGGGCTTAATATTTTAGTGAAATCCATATGAAAGAGGGTGGGACTGGACGTAGGAGGATTACACCACCTCTGAACCAGGATATACTGTGTGTTGATTTACATTCAGTCAACAAAGCACACACTTAGCACTTCTCACAAAAAGATTGAAGTTTGTCAGCAGAATCTTAAGCAGTTGTCTTAACTGACCCGATTGCTTATCCTACTACTTAATCACTTACTTTCTTTGAGACCATTTTCACACCTGAGACGCACCTCACCATCACTAAAAGGTCTGCTCTACCATTTCCCAGTAATTCACCTTCTAAGTATAGCAGGTGCCTCACCAGTTCCCTGAGACCACCCAACTGCTGAGCCCTCTGCTCACATAAAAGTCACTTCCTGTGACCATCTCAGTTTCACCAGCTAGCCATAAATATCATTGTCAAAAAGTGCGTTCAAAATCAATCCCTGAAAGTCAGATCAAAATTTGAGCAGTTGCCTCAGCAATTCCTTACTCCTAGCCAACTGCTAAGCCAACTGCCAAGCCAACTGCTATCTATCTAAGTCCAATCTTCTCCAGATCAGAAAGTGGTTAATACACTCATTATATAAAGGGTAAAGACTTCCGCTGTGCATCTATTAATCTCTCAAAAGATTATAGAACAACTCCTCTAGAGGGAAATCTTTGTAAAGGTCGAAAAGATTTAAAAGTCTATTCACCCCCCTCTAGACTTTTACCCTATCCGGGACCATCAAGTGGTATCAGAGCAGAGTGTTCCTAGAGTCATTTATTGACTAGTTTGAACTAAAGATCCAAAGCCACTTCCCCTCCCAAACACTTTCTAAACAATGGACAGTCAATTAGCCAAAAACGTCCTATTCAACTTAAACAAATTTGATGATTGGAGAATCAGGATGAAGGCACATCTCAGTGCCTTACATGATGAGATGCTGGAAGTAATCACTACTGGACGTATGAGGATAATGAAGGTCAGCACATCCAAAACTGATGACCAGGAGGATGTGTACATTCTCAAGCCCAAACTAGAATGGACAACTGAGGACAGAAAGAGAAATAACCTTGATAACATTGCCAAGGATATTCTCTTTAAATCTGTTGATGAATCCATATTTCCCAGGATTAGGAAATGTGAAACTGCAAAGGACGTTTGGGATGAACTCACAAAAATTGGAGCTGGTGATGAACAGGAGAAGGACAACAAACTGACCATGGCCCTCAAGAAATTTGAGGACTTCAAGATGCTGCAAAATGAGTCCATCCATGAGATGGAATCTAGGTTTCTAAAGATCACAGCAGAGGTCTCAGACCTAGGGAAAGATCTACCTCAAAAAGAGATTTCCCTTAAAGTCTTGAGAGGCCTGCCCTCTAAATGGGACATGAAGGTGACTCCTATGAGAGATAGCAGAGATCTAAGAATCTTATCAACTGATAAGCTCTTCAGTGATCTCAAAGCCTATGAATTTGAGATGAAGGAAATAAAAGAAGAAAAGGAAGATGAACCCAAGACACTAGCTCTAGTGTCTGAGCCTGGCCCTTCAAGATCCAGTGAGAAATCCCTCAACAACCTCCTTACCGACGACCAGTTTGCCATGTTTGTAATGAAGTTTAAAAGGTTCATGAAGAAGGAGGGAACTGCTCCAAAAAGACCATACAATCTGCCACCCAGGAGACAAGGGAGACCTCAAACCAGCGAGGAAACTGTCGTGTGCTACAACTGTAGACAACCAGGACATTACAAGAATGAATGCCCTCTGCCCTTAGCCCAGAAATATAAAGGGCAGCAGGGGACTGGTTACAAAGCTGGTTACAAGAAGGACTTCAAAGGCAAACGACAAGCCTTTGTTAGTGAAAAGAAAAAGGAGGAACCCAAATCTGAAGATGAAAGCAGCTCAAGTGATGAAAGCTCTTCATCTGAGAGCTCAGAGGAAGCACTTCTATGTCTGGGATCCTGGCAGGTGGGTGAAAATGACAGCAGTTGTCTCACTGCAGAGAGCAGCAGGTGGCTCAGTGAATCTTCCACCAGCTCAAGTGAAAATAATGCAAGCAACTCTCCTAAATGCTTAATGGCCAAGGACCACTACAACGATGTCGAGGTAACATCCTGCTCCTCCTATAGCTCTAGTGATTCTGGACCAAACAATATAACACTGGAATCTTTATTACAAGATTTTCAGAAAGTCCAGAATCACCACGTTCTCTTAAATGCTGAAAATGATAGACTGAAACAAGACATTAAGGCAATTCATTCCAAATTACTAGATGCCTCAAGGAAAAATGATGTCTTAGAAAAGGAGAACAAAGAGCTGAGAAACTCCAGCACAAATAGTAAAAACTCTCACCCTACTGCTGAAGTTACTCCAAATATGAAGAAAAGAGGTCTTGGTTACTCATCCCCCACCAGACTCACTCAAAACAGTACATCTACAAGCAATACTTCATACACAAGAAAGCTCACTTACCAAAAACCCCATCCCCCAAATGTTCCCAAAAGAAGGAACCAACCTGCTCCCAAACCAAAATCCAAACACGTGTATAAATCAACACCTCCTCACCATCTAAACCAAAGAACCTGTTGGCAACCAATCAATAAGACCAACCACAACAAAAATACCAAGCAGACTCCTCAAATAAATAATCTATTTCCCACCTCAAAGAGGAAAAGGATTAACAAGTATATAACCATCCCTTTTGATTACAACACCTCAAATGGCTATAGACCAATCTGCTTAGAACTCAATGGTTCTAGATGGGCATGGATGCCTAAACTTGTACAAGGGAAGTCGCCCACTAACCTGTGGGCTACTGCTCAACATTAATTTATACAGGAAGGTGCTGGAGCAGCTGAAACACAAACATGGTACATAGATTCAGGCTGCTCCAGGCACATGACGGGCAGCAGGCGGCTCCTGTCAAACTATACAGCAAGGGTAGGACCCAAGGTAACATTTGAGAATGTGGAAAAACAAGGAGAAACCAAAGGAGCAGGAGATCTATCAATTAATGGACTTACAATCCAAAACATATCATATGTTAAGGGTTTAAAGTTCAATCTCATAAGCACAAGCCAAATCTGTGACAATGGCTACAACGTTACATTCTCCAAAGACATCTGTTTGATCAGAGATGTCAAAAATGACAAACTTGTACTCACTGGTAGAAGGAATAAGGACATGTATATTGTTGATTGGGGTTCTGCAAAGGAAGGAATCTGTTTAGTAACAAAGGCAGATTCAAACTTAAGTTGGGAATGGCACAACAAATTAAGCCATCTAAACTTCAAAACAATCAACAAACTGTCCAGAAAAGGTTTGGTGAAGGGACTCCCTGAAATCAACTTCAAAAAGGACCACCTCTGTGATGTTTGTCAAAAAGTGAAACAAACCAAGGTATCATTCAAATCAAAAGAAAATGAATCATCAACAAGGCCCTTAAGCCTTCTTCACCTTGACTTGTTTGGACCAGTTGAACCAACAAGCTTAAGTGGTAGAAGGTACACCCTGGTTGTAGTTGATGATTATTCTAGATATACTTGGACCATATTTCTAAAGAAGAAGAATGAAACAGAGAAGAAACTGCCTGAATTGATGAGGCTAATTCAAAATGAGAAAAGTCTCTCAATCCAGAAGATCAGGTCAGATAGAGGTACTGAATTTCTCAACTCAATCATAATTCAGTACTGTGAAGAAAATGGAATCCATCATCAAACCTCAGCAGCAAAAACACCTCAACAAAATGGTGTTGCTGAAAGAAGAAACCGAACTCTCAAGGAAGCAGGAAGGACAATCTTAGAAGCAGCTGGATTACCCAAAAGATTTTGGGCAGAAGCAATCAACTACACTCAAAATAGAAGTCTTATTCATAAGACTCACAAGAAGACACCATATGAGCTATGGAAAGAAAGGAAGCCTCATGTCAGTCATTTCCATGTGTTTGGATCCAAATGCTTTATCCTAAACAATGGAAAAGACTATCTCAAGCCATTTGATCCCAAATCTGATGAAGGGATCTTCCTGGGCTACTCAACAACTAGCAAAGCATTCCGAATTCTCAACAAAAGAACTCTGGTGGTAGAAGAATCAATCCATGTGGTATTTGAAAACCACCCCGCTGATTGTCTTACGACGGATTCAAGAGTTTTCTGGGATTCCTTGTAGTTCTCCCCTTCCTTGCGTTCATCGTCCTCGAGCCTACTGATATCTTCAGAGCATTTGTTGATTAGCTCTCGTAGCCACCAATTTCTCTGCATGTCCTCTTGTTCAGCCTCATTACGGAGATCATCCCATTTTGTCCATTTTCTTGGCCATTTATCATATATCACCGCCTCCTCTAGTGCATCGTGGATGTCCTTGCCTGGGGGAATGTATGGAACTCTTTGCTGCTGTTGAGGCGGTGATTGTTCCTGGATAGCACAACCGGGTTCACTTGGATTGCCCGTTGACATCAGCTTAGAACTTGGTTCCAACTGATGGCCTGATGTGAAGGATGTACCAGTGGTAGCATCATCAGGACTTCCATCTCCTCCTCGGTTGGTATCTCTGGGAGATACGCCTCGGGATGTTACGTCTAGCTCGACCATGCTAGATATTTTGGCTGTGGGTGGTGGCTGTTGGTTTGTCGAGGTTTCGGGTTGGATGGGCTGTGGAGTTTGGCTTGGTAAGGCAGTTTGCTCAAGTGATCGAGGTCGCTTGTTCTCCCTCTCATGAGGATCCGAATCATCGGGGTCCTCATGGGAACGTTTGCGACCACGAGGACTCTCCTTGCAAGTGCTCTTGGTTTCAGGTGAAGAAAAGAGGGCTTCGAGTATGGCTTGCTGATGAAGGGTAAGTTTGTCTTCAGGGGTGTTTAGGAGGTTGTTCAGCAAAGCCGACGCAAGAGTGTCGAAGGATAGTGAAGAGAGATCGATGGAGGGTGTGGTCGGGTGTGGGGAGAATACTGGTTCTGTATCCTGGGTTCCCCGAGAAAGAGAAGGAATGGGAATTTGGTTGATGGATTGGTGAGATAGAGGAGTGGAGGATACGGGTTGTGTATGGGAAATGAAAGGTTCGGGTGAAGGTTGGGGTGGTGTTTGTTCAGACCGAACCGCTTGGGTGGTCCTAAATTCCTGTGCTAGAGCGGTCATTGCATCTTGCACC